AAAACTTTTGCGATAAAGTTTTGTCTTGTCGAGCATAAACGATTTTTCACAAATCTCAAAAAGACTGAGTATTCGCGTTTATTTATATATTTTTATTTTTTATTTTTTTACATTTACATTCAATAACGTTCATCTTATTGTGATTTAAAGAATGCGACGATCGCAATAACATTATTGGCTTGTCCTCTCTCACAATTTGAAATTTTATTATAGTTCATAGCATAATATTTCTTAGTCACGCATTTGTAAAGAACCAATAAGTCACGGGATCAACCCAAGGACTTTACTTTGTCATGGGGAATTGTTACACTATAAACCCACTATTGGTAGTCCTTTTATAGAGCACGATTGGTTTTTGGGTCTGTCACGTGACAGAAGATTCCCACATGTACGCGGGGGATCTCTCACGTGAACTCGTTCATTTCGTCGGAGCGGCTCGCTTCGTCGAGACACGAAAACGGCAGAGAGGAGAGGATCGGCGGATGTCGCCGATCCGCTCCGTAGAAGCTTTTCAGGGAAACGTGCGGAGGAACCCGAGCCAAGAGGATTGCCGAGAGAAGCTTTTAATCTGCCGAGAGATTTGGACTTTCGCCAGCACGCGGTCGGTGCAAGTGTCGTAACGTGTGTGCGCGCAGTGCGATGTAGAGCGACGTTCGCGCGGAAACGCTATATACGCGCCGACCGTGATTGCGCGAGGAGAATGTAATTAGTGACGGGACGTTGCCGTGTTGATCCTTCGTAGTGGTCGTTGCTTGGCACTGCCGGCCTGCCCGTCGCCCGGAACGGTATCCCAGACCGTTTCCAAACGCTCTGTGTCCGTGGACTGTGTTTGTGTGTGGCGGCTGTCCCGCTTAAGGAAAGGGAATCGTCTCTGGAACGTTCGCGCATGATTGAGCTCGACGGTTAAGAGAGGTACGAATACACTTCAATCGAAGGTATTACAGGTAGAACTGCGTCGTATGAGATTTTTTTTTTTTTTTTTTTTTTTATTACACACACTGGCGAATGTTAAACCAATCGAAAGAAATTCTGGTGCTCATTAAAATCATGTTGTGTTAAACAATTAAGTTTTAAGAAAAACTATAGTTTTTATAATGCAAAGAAAATAAGAAAAATTTACTATTTAAATTAAAATTAATTTTTCAAATGTAAGTTACTACACACATAATCAATTCATTATATGAAAAAATAAGATTGCTCGCATAAAAATGCTCGTTTGTTTTCTCGCATAGGAAAAGACAAAAGACTGGAGCAAAGGATGTCAAGGATTCTGTAGTCCATAAGTCAAGTCAAGGTGAGTAAAGGAAACTAGAACACAAACGCGTATTATTCTAAATAAGCCTGTGAAATCGATTGCGTTTTTAGGCGGAGCTAGAAAATTTCGATATTTTAGTGTCATAATAGTAGGCGCTATTGAAAACTATTGAAAAGATCAGAATAACCTGCCAGTTTTATTTTTGTGCTTTTGCGATGATGGACACATAGATTTATAAGGATTCTAGGGTATTAGGATCTTTAGACGTCGCAGGTAACACGTCCTTTCCGGGGGTCTGCACGTGCTTGACGCGTCATTGTGTCGCGAGAAAAACGCAAGGTGCCGAAGAAGGAACTCGCAAGGTGCAAACGTATTCGGACGCGTTATTTTTGTCGCCATATATTTGCATATACTCGCGCAATTCCACACACGACATTCATCGATCATATTTTATCCGCGACCTGCGGTCTCTCTGATTATTCCTCGCGGGACGTTTTCGCTTGAGAAGTGCTTCAGCGCTCATTTGAGAATGTTTCGGCTTTCAAACTCGCTGATCAAGATAGATGATCCACTTTCGCGTGCGCGCGATCAACAACGAGCGGGATCTCTGAGCGATCGATCGTTGGATCGATCGTATCGACTGCGGCCGCGCCGGCCGTCTCTCATTGAATTAATGCCGAATTTTTGGCCGCCGTCATCAAAGCGGCCCTGATTGCTGAGCTCTGCTCTCGCGCGCATGGGTACTACAGTTGATTGGAATCATTGTAGGGGGCATTTTATGCACCGAGAGCATGCACCGCGGCTCCAACTTGAATACCGAATCAGGAAGACTGAAGGAGCGAAAGAGAAAGAGAGACAGGCAGAACGAGTGAGTGCGGCGGTAGTGGAGAGGAGAGAAGAGAGGGGAGTTAGGTACCGGTTCCAGAGGCTGTGCACCGTAACAGTAGAAGGCTGCCTTGCCCCCCGCCTCGCTTCCTGTCCCTCGTCCGTTTTAATAATCCTCGACCCCCTTAGAGAGCAACCCGAACAAGGATAGAACACAGCTGCTCCCCCTGTTTGCCTCGCGTGCCCGGTGTTAAGGGGTACCGCCCCCTACTGTGCATTAGTCTCGCTCGCTTCCACTTACTGTGCTGATCCTCTCGCTCTTCCGCGTTGACTCCTGCTTTCTCTGAATAGTCGAAAATTCTAAAGAAACGCGTTTCGTGACGTTACCGTCCTACTTTCCGTACGGCGTTCTTTTCCTCCTCCGAACGATATATTTGAAATGAAACACGCGCGATCTCCTTGCGACGTAAGCACGCATGCTTTTCCCAGTTTTAGTGGTTTTCATTGACGAGCAAAACGCCCGCTCTCGCCCAGCTTTATCCCGCTGCTCGAAGCGCTATATCTCGCGATTTTGCCGATTCCTTTGTGCGCTCGAGCTCGGAGACCGCTCGCGCAACCTCTATCTCTCGGTTCTCGTCTTTCCTGTTGCTTGCTTTTTCCTCTTTTCTTTAAGGCCGTCTTCGTTCTAGCGTGAAGTCACCCTCTGCCGTTTCCTAGAAACGGATGAAAGCAACGTCAGAATTGCGCTCATCGATTATTCTTCCGTGAGCTTTCAAAATTCGAAGGTCAGAAAGTACCGTGACGAATGCTCAAAAGTTCCTTGGCGTCTCGCTCAATAAGAGATTTAGAAAGTAAATTAGTGGGAAGAGCAAGATAAAAAATGATTGTACATTAAAACTTTTTTCGCAAAATGTTGAATAAATCATTTAAAACTAAGGAAAATACGAACGGTTTTTATGCGAAGTTTGAAAGAATGGCGTCAAAATCTTTAATTTATGGGTGTCGCCCTGAAAGAGATGTCTTTCGACGACACATCACGAATTTTTGGAACGTCAGTATAAAGAAAATTTACAATGTCTACCAATTATGTTTTGTGAATTAGTTCTTCTCATTTCTTTGTCCTTTTGTCCAAATACTGTAATCGAAAGATAAATAGTTTCGGCAGATAGAAAGACAACCTTTTTCTACATGATCCAAATGCGTACTAGGGTTCAGATTTCTTTTTAACATCGAATCGAATTGGCGCCGTTTTTCTGCGAACGAGAGTTCGTTGACAGTGAGAGTGACGAGGAACGAGAGTCGGAGAGAAAAGTGTCCCGCAGTGAAGATCGCAAAGAGCGCTACAGAATCAATAGGAATGAGAAAAATAACGGGAAAAAAAAAAACGAAAATACAACAAGACGCCGACGCTTCAAATGGGAAAAAGAAAAAGAAACCTGTATCGTTTTAGCGTGCTTGTATATCAAATCAGGGTCGGTTTGGCACGTTTCGTAGAAGAGACGAGGGCAAAGTGAGAAGAGGCATAAAGAGCCCGACCGACCGATCGACGGCGAGAGAAACGGCAAAGCAGAGTCAGGCTAGTGCGAGCGTCCGAGCGAGACCGATCTGAGCCGAGGGCACAGGTAAAGCCGTTGGCGTAGTAACGTGTCGAGGATGCCGTATGCCGTCGAGCCTGTGCTCGGTCTGTCCTATGTGATCTGCCTGCTTTTGCTCGTTACCCTTCCTCCCCCGACATTTCGCGACCATTCCATACGTTCGTTTGTCCGAACAGCCTAACTCCGATTTGTGTAAGGCGCGCGTCTGTGTTCGCCGCTTTTCTCCGCGTGATGCTTCTATCGGTGGCGACTACACGCGAAGCGCCCCGGCCTTCGGCGCGCGTGTACGCGCACGTTCGTGTGCGCGCGTGTGTTGGATGGGGGTCCCGGCCCGGCGCTCTCGGCCCGTCCCGTCCCGTTCCGTGGAGTATCGCACCGCGCACACCGCTCGCCACCCGCTATCCACAGCAGTTTCAGCCAGCCCGCCCGCCCGACTGCCTGCCAGTGTCCCACCGCACGCCGAACCGTTTGCACTCAGAAGCGATCAGGGAGCCCTTCTCTGCCTCTCTGCCGGTCACCCCGCTCATACGCTCTCTCGTCGGCTCTCCGTCGGCACCCCACTTCGCCCACGTCTCACCCACGGCCAACGTTCGCTTTGTCTCTCTCGCGCCGCCGGTCCGACCTTCCCTTTCTCTCTTGAAACTTTTCTCTCTCTTCGTTCGTGGCGCGCAGCATTTCTTCGCGTCCCACTCTGTCCCATCGAGGCATCTCCTCGCCCTCCTCTGTCAAGTTACGCTTGGCAAACGCACGAGAGCACCCGCTATCGCTCTCCTCGTCTCTCATCTCCGTCAGTTCATACTCCGTCCCATTCACCCTCCGCGTCTCTCTCTCTCTCTTTCTCTCTCTTTCTTTCTCGTGCTCCACTCTGTCTTTTTCCTACCCGTCCCGTTTGTCCCTCTCTCTTTCTCTCTCTCTCTCTCTCTCTAAAGTGCGCCCTCCTCTACGCTGTTCCACACTCCCTCCACGTTCTGTTCACGACTCGGCTGTCCTTGTTCTGCCAAAGCAGCCAGTCGCACTCTCTCTATCTCTCTGTCTCTATTCCTCTCTCTCGTACGTACGTCCCGCTTCTCGCTCTCACTCGGGAATAACGCCGGTGTGTACTCCCGCTGTCACCTGATCGCGGGACGCTTTTCGCGGGTGAGATACCGCTCGGCCACCGAGTCAACCTAGTCTGCCGGCGCTCGCTCTTGCTCCGGTTCTTCCTTCTCGCTCTCTTTTTCTTTCTCTCTTCCTCTTGCTACGTCTGTCTGTCCTCATTCTATCTCACTCGCTCGTTCCTTTACCCCTCCTCCCTCCCCCCACCCCCGCGCCACTTTCCTCTCTTTACTCTTCCACCGCCGCTCTTCCTCCTGCTCGTCGCCGTCGTGGTCTTCCTATACTCGCCTCGTTGCCGCGCGACGTCAACATCGTCGGGCTGGTGGTTACCCGGAGGAAGAAGAGAAGGCGAGAAAAAAGGAAAGCGAGCGCACAGAAGCGGCCGCCACCGTCTGACGGGCGCTCGACCGGGTTGCGGACGATCTCTCGCCTCTTCCTCCTTTCACGGATCTTCGCCGGCACGTCGGAGTCGTCCGAAGAGAGGGAGGTGACACTTTCGGACAGACACGCGGCACGGATCTCGCGCACTTGGACGCGCGCGAGAACACGGAAGAGAGCAGCGCGCTCCGTTGCGGATCGTTGACGGTGCCAGAATCTCGTTCTTTTTTTCCCTTCGTTTTTTCACCGGATCTCAACTCGGGCCCTTTGTCCCGAAAGTGCTTCGTGAGTTGAGTGGACCTTGTACTCAGTGCACAACGCGACGACGCGTGTTATCTCGATGTGACAGTGCTGCGGACGACAATTTTCAAGTGAGTTCTAATCATTAGATGATCATTACTTGCAATTTTTAACGCGATTTTTTCACGTACTTCCAGTGCTGCATTTAAAATTTTCTCTCACGTTTTGAGCGTGAAAGCTTGTTTTTTTTTTTTTTTTTAGAGAATTATTTCTAATATCGAATATTTTTTTCATACATCGTGAAAAACTCTTTGTACCAATTAACGTAGATTTTCGAATATAGTAAGAGTGAAAAATTGTTCGGAAAAGTTATGGTGTTTTAGCGGCTATATCGTTGATCATCCGACGGATTGTCGGCAACAGACTGTCAGCGTAATTCCGCTTTTGTAACATTGAATACTAAATGACATACGGTTTTTAGTTTATATAATATTGATTGAATTTGTTTTCGACTTTGCGTTCGAAAACCGATTCGCGCTGATAAACTTTTCAGCGCCAAAATCGCTCGCGAATACTATTTTCGGATCGAGCAGTGCGAGATACGTTATCGTAGACATAAATAAGTGTTAGAAATAAATTAATCGGTTTTCTATGCGTTATCACACATTCAGGAAATAAATTATTATCAAATCACCAGCACGCGTCAACACAACTCTTGCGTTGAAACTATTAATTTTCTAGATAAATTACGTTTCTTACTCTTTGCGTTGCTATTTCTATCTTAATACGTTTGTATGCGCGATGTAAGCAACCGAAGAAAACTGCGTCGGAAAGATCCCTCCCGTGGCGCGAAAAGGGCGACTTCTCCCTTCGCGAACGATCGATCGATATATGCGCGTACGGCGGATCGAGAAGACGAAATCAAAGTAATTTTCTAAGTGCTAGAGTGTCCGAGTGGAGGTTTAATTCGTTTTCTTCGTTTCTCTCTTTCTTTCTTTCTCTTTCTCTCGGAGGGAAGACGGCTCTCGTCTCGGGGCGGGAACGAGGGAGAAGAGATAGCGGCGTCTGTGTCCGTGCCCGTTGCGGGCCGGTCGCCACACCCGCCCGTTTGGGAATTCAACTTACTGCCACTCGGGACTCGCGCGCGCGAGGAGAGCGTTCGACGGTTTCTCCGACGGGATCTAACGAGCCGCCGTTTGCGAAACACGCCTGTTTTCGCGGTGGATTCAATCGGTCGATCCTTTCACGAACAACTCGCCCGACCGAGGTAATTTTCCTCATCAACCGTGATTAGTTCAATCAAGGAAGTCGTTGAGAGTGTGTTTGGTCAAGTGTTAATCGGCGCTCTTAAGTTTGCTTTGTCGCGAAATGGCTCGTCATCGATTTCCGAAGGTGTTGAAAGAATCGCCGCTTCTCTTTTCTATCGATCGCATGCGATCGTTGCGTTTGCGTGGCTCTTTTCACCCGCGATTTGATTCGGCGTAGGCGAACGATGGAAAACACGCACGAGGATTGGAGTGGAAATCCGAAGCACTCGTTTGCGGTGTTTTTGTAACACGTCATTATCAGTGTTGGTTTGTCCTGATTCTCCAGTTGCCTACCAATCCTTTGTTTTTCAAGAGTTTGTTAATGTTCGGCGTTTCGCGTTAATCGACGATCGATGCGTCAAGTTAAACGTCAGTTTTTGCATTGAAACGTTTTTCTAATTAATAATCGATAATTAATACCAATAAGTTGATAATAAATAAATATATTAATATATTTTGACGGGTTTGTTTGTTTTGTTATTATTGGCTACGGTCGAATGATTAAGAACTCGCTCTAAATATTGCTTGAGAAAAATTAAATGCTAAAGAACTGCGTCTACATATACTTCGAGCAAAATTAACGGGAGGACACATTACTACCCCTTCATCTATGATCCTCTTTATGCGGTAACTCGTGCATAAAGCAACTAATCAAGCTATCTTACGGTCTCCGTCTAGCTTGATGGATGATCGATAAAACCAGTTAAAGATGAATATAGTTAACCGCATAAGTCTTTCGCTAACAAGATCGCAACAGAACTGGGATACTACTATTGTGCGCATTCGTTTCACATTTATTATTCTGAATGTCTGCAGATTTTCAGCCTAGAGAGATCGTGTTATTTTGTGGGACCTTGCTTCATGCTAATTACGGGCGCCAGCTGTAATGTCGTCACGAGCATATTTCTGAAATTCCGCGGAAATATTAGTCGCGCGTTGAAACGTGTTTATATTGATCGTCTATCGTCGTGTTATGAACTCCTTTGAGCTCAGATCGATTTGCGAAATTGTCGGAATTGACGCGCGATCTTTCAATCGCGCGATTGCGAAAATGCGCACGATCAGATCCTTCTCCCAAATCGAAACGCGATCTTCGACACAGCTACAAATTGTTCTCACACTCTAGCAATTGTGTAACGTCACGGAATGAAAATAACTTGTAAGCAAGAGTTTAAGGTCTTCGACTATAACGTCTCAAATAAACGCTCATTTATTTAAGCCAAATAATTATTGCCAACAATTTCACAGAATAAATAGACAAAAAACTGTATATTTTAAAAAAAGCAAGCTTTTCTAAAACATGCATGTCTGAAAACTTTTACCGGAAAAGACTTCTCTTTTCTTCTCTTTTTCCTTTCTGATTCATGATGATATAACATTTTCTCGCCCAAAAATATCGCCTTTTGTTTGAGATAAAAAAAAAAAAACCCAAAACGTTTCTCTAGACTTAAAATAACGACCGCGAATTTGTCGATTGGTAGCCATCGGGAAGAAACCACCGTTACGAAACCGATCGGCGGATGAGACGAGAGGGAGGAAAAGGAGAGGGAGAAAGAGGAGGATGGTGGTGTCCTGCGCGGGAAACGGATAACCGAAACTGCCGCGTATGCACGCGTACAACGGGTGGGCGTACGTGGTAATACAGTGGCCATGCGAGCTTGATTACACATTGCGATCACGAGTGTCCCACGAGCGGGCGGACATAAGGCCTTTTGTCGTACTATGGCCTGCGGGCAGGAAGCACGTAGCGTGACACCCGGCCGCTCAGTGTGCGAGCGGCACCCACATTATACGCCGAGTAATATGTACATGAAGGGAGGGAGTGAGATAAAGACAGTGAGAGAGATCGGAGAGAGCGAAAGAGAGAACATATATATAGTGAAGAAGGGAGATAGAGCTACGCGATAAAGGGGGCAGGAGGCTGTGCGCAAGAGGGGACCGGAGAGACGGACGCGGGAACGACAGGGGACGTGCTATAATACTCGGTGGTGGTCCCATGCCACTACGTGACTTGTGTGCGGCTCTAAGCCGAGACATATCGCCGTCCCGGGGCCCCGTTTCTGCCACCTAAAGGAGCGCGCGGATATATCGCGCGCCGAGGCCATTATACTGGCCACCGTGCCGGACGGACGGTTCGATCGGCCTTATTGAATTAGCTCTCTCTCCCTCTCATCCCCCTCGTCTCTCCGTACGTTTGCACTCGCTTTGCCGCTCTGGGTTTGTCTCCCGATTGTTCGCCGCGAGTTATCTAAGCGCAGTCCGCCAGCTAACCTAATCGGGTCACCTACTCGCGAATGCAGACTCGAGGGTTTTTTCACCTCATCGTCGGGCTTCTGTCCCGAGCGAACGGCGGCATACTGCTGTGTTGAATGAAATCGGAGCGCAGTGAGATAACTTAATTTGGGGCTTCGTGCTTCAGAGATTTATTGCGTTTTCTTCGAAAGGTATACAATTCCGCTTTGCTTTGAAAAAAGTTTATTTAGAACTATTATATGTACACTTATATAGTCTCTCTCTCTCTCTCTCTCTCTCTCTCTCTCTCTCTCTTTCATTACTATAAATCAAACCTATATTTTTCTACATAAGATAATTTTATACAATTTAATATCGGAACATTTTTTCCATTTTTTTCTATGACTGAAAACACTTTCTCGTAATCAAGGAGCAAACTATTCGATACTATCGACTTTATTCGATCTCCATTGATTCTGTCTGCGAGTTCGGTCCAATAGTGCAGGTTAAATGCGGCTGCGGTACTTAATGGATACTTAATCGGACCGTTAATTAAGGTGATCCGAGAGATCGTGGCGCTCGAAAATAAACTTTTCGCGCGATCGTATCTCCGCGCGAGACAATACTGGTAATATCTTCGCGTCGTCCTTTTTTTTTTTTAAATCGTCTTTTGTCTTTCCTCTCGCTCTCGGCTGTTCTCTCTCGGCTATTCGTCGCTTGAGAAAGAGACCACGTATACATCGCGACCCGGCCATTATGCGAGCCACCGCACTAGACGCTTCGATCGGCCTCATTGAATTAGCTCCCGCCCGTGGGCTTGTTTCTCGATTGTCTGGCGTAAACCGCAGAGGCCAGCCATTTTATCCAGGAACCCGGTCGGTCGGTCGCTCGACCGGCTTGCTTGGTGATTGACATTCCCGAGGGCGGTAATCGCGAAAATAAGAAATCCGTCCCAATGCTAGAAACCCTTGCGTGACTCCCGAAGTACATCGAACGATTCGAGCTGAAATATTTAAAGATATATCTCGGTCTATTATAAACGTTAGAATAACTGGGGCCTCTCTAAGAATAACTAGCCGCTATCGCGGACATAGGAGTGTTCCTTCGTTCCGTCTCGTACCGACAGTTATCGATTCTAAATTAGTCTCTAACTCACAACTCGAAGATTCGCATGAAATTTCAGTGAAAAGTTCTTAACTTCTATTTATGCGATTTCTCTTCGAAGAAATGTAAATCGAATTTACTGTTTATAAACAATAGTTTGTTATCAGATTTAGATGATTTATATAAAATATGTATAATACAAGAGCCAAGAGACGACTCTAAATTTTTTTTCTACGTTAAAGAAAATTTTTTACGAAAGTAGCTAAATATTAGTATAATTGCAAAGTTTTCTTGAATGCATTCTGTGATCGTCAACAATTTGCGCGTTAACGCAATACGAAAGTCGCAAAAATAGTTTGACTTTATAATACTTTATCGTAAGTAGAAACATTTATTTCCACGATTCCGCGAGATTTTATTTTCGAGTATCTTCAGCGAGTCAGTTCGATATCTTGAAGATTATCCATTTCTGACTTAAGGGTGCTTTAGGTATCATCTTGAGGTCGTTACAACGAGCTGCCGAGGTGGACGATCCGATAGACTTTATTGAATTAGTTTCCGCTCTTAAGCGTGATTGCGGATTATACGTGGGCATTACTCAACTACGTGATTCACATGATCATCGATACACTTCGGTTTTCTTGCATATTATATATCATTATAAGCAATAAATATTCATCTACGATCTAGTGTTACATATAAACCGTATCAGCGTGATCACATAATTGTCGCAGTTATCTAATGCGCTTTCGATTCCGGACGGGTTCAGCCAGAGATAGCGCTTCCCCAAAAGGCGTGACATCGAGGGTGTCAACGTATATATGTTAGGGAGAACCGTGTGAAAGGGCCGCTTCATTTTTAGGTCGTTATATATCATTATTTCCCGTCCCCACGATCACGTGTATTTTCGCCGCAGGAGGTTGAGAACAATAACTGTTCAATTCCACATCGGCGGGGCGATGTTTTTGGATGACACGTGGAGTGTTATATATTTTAGTTTGATGTAGTCTGATATATATCTCTGCCGAGAGCGCGCGAAAATGGCCCACGCGCGAAAAGGAGGTTGCAGCGGCTAACCGGTTTCTCAGTTTAGTACGTCGTGCAAGCTGCCGGGTAATTATGCTAACGCCGTAGACTACCCCAAAGCTTCCATTTCGCCGTGCGTGCGGTTAAAACTGAAATATGATACTCGCGAAAAAAGCGCGAGTTTTTTTTTTTTTTTTATTTCAGGCGCGAATGATACCAAGAAGAGTGAGAAATTCTTTTTTTTTTTCACATTGTTTACGATATAACACTATTTTTTCATTATCTTTTCAAAAGCGAAGAAAGGCGTGAAATACAAAATTTATATGCGAGCCGTTTGTTTTAATAAGCAGCAGGTTCCGAAATCGCGATAAATCTATGCAAGTTAGAAACACAAACTATCGATTTTCGCGAAATTGCAAAAATTTTACTTACATCATTATCAAAATAAACATCTCGCTCGACCACGTTGAGTGCAGACGAATCTAACAGATTATTCTCTTGAATAAGCTCGAAAGAAAACGAGAGTGATCGGACGGAGATGAGTGAATTTTTTTTTTTTTTTTTTTTTTTTTTTTTACGACGAGAGTTTTGGAAGACATCGTGTCTATTATCGGATCGAAAGTGGAAGACGACGGGAGTCATTTTCCCGAGCGAATTTCTGCCACCGTATTATATCCGAGCAGCTATAATCTACTTCTCCGACTGGCGATAGTCTCCACCCACTTGGCTAGTAGTCCATTAGCGGCGCCCTCGCGCTTAACCATTTCCGCGGCTTAATTGCGCATAGCTAATTTTCCTCGTCACAATTTCGTCCCTCTTTTGTTTTCAGGCGCAGTATCATCGTCGTCGTTGTCATTCTCGTCCCAGAAGAGAAACGTTAGGGCGTTTCTTAGACCGTGTACGGTGTTACAAGTTGTTGTCAGCGACACACAAACAAACATTACGGAGTGCTTGCGGAGTGATCGCAGATGATTTTCGTGGTGTAACTGGGGTGTTTACAGTGTTCAGTGCCGATATGCCGATTACGGGAAAACGGTGAAATCGATCGCGAAACATATAAAACACAACATGGCCAGCGCAACGACAATGGGTCTACGTCGTAGAACACCAGTGAACAGCTCGCCGACTCCCTCGAGCCAATCATCATCCATGAGCACGTCGTCGTCAAGCAAGCGTTCGAGAAGTGAGAACAACAACAACAGCCCGTCCCACGGCAATCTGAACTCGATGAACGGCGGTTCTCGGGATGAGCCTCCAGCGAAAAAGTCCCGCGGGACTTCGACGAGCGGAGCGAAAGGGAGTTCGTCTTACTCCACCTCTTCTACCACTTACTCCTCTTCGGCGTCCTCGTCAACGACCACGAGTGCCTCGAGCGACAGCCAGAATACGAAGAGTCGCGGAACTACTGTTTCGAGATCGACCGCTCAGACGAAGTCGTCGTCCACGTCAACAGCTGCCACCTCGACCGCGTCTTCGTCGATGAGCGACATATCGAACAATCCCGCACTCTCAACCAGCTGGTCGTCGAACAGATCGGACATGCCGCCGTACGCTTCCGTGACCGGGCTGAACTTGACGGGCGGACAAACGGCCGGCCTCTGCGCCGGAAACCTCGGAATACCTCCCGCAATACCTTCCTACATGTCGACCTCAATGGCGACCTTCGTCGGTAACGCTACAAACCTCACCAAAAACTCGTCCGTCTCTTATCTCGACATCTCGAACATGACCGGTGGTGGTTCCTTGACCGCTTCCGGCGCCGTGAACTCGTTAAGCGGCGGATACGTGGCGAACGGTGTCGTGGACACGAAGAGCGGAATGGCGATACCATATCCGGTGATACCTTCGCCGAACGTGAACAGCAACAATCCATATGTGCAGAAAGGAGCGAATCAGAACGGGACCGAGGGAGCGGTCGCTCCCTCGAGGAAGTTTCAGAACGACGCCATGTTCAACACTTATCAACCGTGGGTGATCAAGACGTACGGCGATCTAGCAAAGACAAAAACGGTTACCATAAAGAAGTACGGGCGTATTTTGAGGACGTTGCGCGGTGAAGAGGTTAATAGCGCCGAGAACAGCAAGTTCCGCTTCTGGGTCAAGAGCAAGGGCTTCCACATCGGTCAGCCGGAAGGTTACGACGCGAAACCGGCCGACATGATTATCGGACGTCACGCCCTCATGTCGGTTCCGGGAATGGATCCGCCGCTCTACGTGCCCACGCAGCTAGCGCACAACAAGGTGAGTACGTCCAAGCTGGATTATCCTATCTCCCGTAATCGCGAGAGACGTTTCTCAGGTAGAACCCGTGAATGCCGATCGAGAGACGGCGGGATTAAGCATGCTAGCGGCTGTGCGAAAGGTATCAAGAGATAATCTCTCTTCGATCGTCGTAGTTACGAAGTCACTGTGATTTGTATCGATAAATGAAACGCGCGTCGATGAGTTTTTTTATGAGATTTTAAACATATGAAATTTTTATTTAACAAGGGAAGAGTTTTCGATGCAGTTAAATGTACTTTTTGCTTTAAATTCAAAGTTGAAAAGCTCGATTATATCAATTTCCAATTTGGAGAGACTAAAATTTGTTCATAATTTCAATGCAGATCTGCAAAGTCTGCGGGAAACGATAATAATGTTTATTTTATGAAATTGCTCTACAACTCGTACGATACTTTCCTATTTTCCTATACAAAAAAGATCGATTTCGAACAGATTTTATTCGCACAGATTGCTGCGAAGAGTCCACCGCTGCGGTTTTTGAAACGCGAGGTTTACGGGTCGGTGGGATTTATCTTCACGGCGAGTAGAAAAACCGCGAGAAATCTCGGGCGCGGCACGTTCAGTCGCAAAGGAGAATGAGAGGAAGAAGGAGAGAGAGCTCGCGTCGCGCACAGATAAGGCAGCTTAATTGCGTCTAATTATGTATATACGCGCGTGCAACGACGCGACCGACGCCGTCACCGCCGCCGTTGCCGCTGCCGTCGCCGCCGCCGCTGCCTCGTCGACGCTATACGGAGGGGAGAAAAACCTCCGTCGGTGTGCAACGGCGCTTCGATCCAGTTGCCGGAGCTTTGCCAAGCCTGAAGGGAAAGGGAAAAAAGACGAGAGAGAGAGAGAGAGAGAGAAAGAGAGAGAGAAAGAGAGAAAGAGAGAGAGAGAGAAAGAGAGAGGAGGGAGGACCGTTCACCACCGTTCGCCCGCTTGGTCTCTTCGACAGCGCGTTTCCGCGATTTTCTATCTGCGTTTCGTCGCGGAATTCGGTAATACGACGAGATCTCTTGCTCTACCTTCGCATCTGATACTCTACTTTAAGACTCCGATAACGCGTTAAATTACTTACACAGCGCCACGTCACCGTGCGCACTCTATCACACCGGCGCGGCGCTGGATTATTCCAGGAATATCCTGCGATTTACTCGCGCCGGAATGTCTTATTAAATTGGTCATGAGGTTACGGATAATCTCGGTAAACGGAGCGATAATCTAATCTAAAAGTGATTTTCGTCTTGGAGGACAGGTGCATATCGGAGTTAAAATTTCACTTCTAGATTGCTTGGCAAGATCAATAGTTTTCGAGCAATTTTTTTATATCAATGAAAGATACAGGTGTTTTCTGGCTAGCGAAGAATTTCTTCGTTACGTTGTGATAGTGTCACTTTGTATCGTTTTGCGATAAGCAACTTCTCTCAAGATTTTGAGTTCGAGAGTTATCTTCGTCAGAATTTCTACTAATACGCTTCCACTTTTTTTTTTTTTTTTTTTAATCATTGTCATTTTCCCCATCAGGGCTAGAATTTCGATGTGATACTTGTGTATTTGTGTGAGAGATGTTCAGACGCGATAAGACGTTCTTTCACAGCACTTTTTCCTCGTTGCTCAATTACATTTCACTCGATTGCGAGAGACGCTTTCACAGTCCTCGCTGCCTAACGTAGCATACCGGCATGTCGATCGCGATTCTCTCACGTTTCACAAAACTCGAATATCGGGAGTAGCTACCTGAGTTACTTCGAAGCTATCTAATTACAAACTCATTTTGTCTGACGTGTTTTTACATAGATGAAAAATTTGCCGTCAGAAAAATTTCGATTCCGATAGTCGTGCGCGTCAGAACTGTGGTCAAGCCGAAGTTCGTTCAATCGCGGCTCAATCGCGTTGATTGTGAGACTTATTTTCGAATGTATTATTTTCTAGAGATCTTGATCATTATCCTTTCTAGTTTTTTATATTGACGATATTTCATGATCGTTGTTGGCAATGATTCTCCGACGCACGTCGCGGTGCCGTGGGATTCCGGTCGCGGAAGCCGGCACTCTTTTCTCACGGAAAAGGAAGAGCGCGGCGGGCGCGCTTAGAATTCCGCCGCTTCGTTCGCTCGGTCCATCGATCGGGATTCACAGTTCCGGGTGGTCGGAGCGAAGAGGATCCATCCTCGTCTGTTCATCCCGCCCGGCGACGGTGGCGGCGGTAGCATCCATGAGATTTTGCGTGCCACCGAGATTCTCTACTCACCCTTCTTTTCTGGACTCTCTATTTCCGTCCTTTGCCACACGGCGTACCGCAAAATATCGCTCGCTCGCGACACTCATTTTTCACGGTTGACCGTCGTCGAGGACCGCGAGATAACAACGGCGGAGAGAGGAAAGGTTCGCCACCGCGATAACTCTCACGGGAGAGAGGAGACCCACCTTCTCTTCTGCCTTCACTCGATCTTTCTCTCTCTCTCTCCCTTCCTCTCTCTCTCTCTCTCTCTCTCTTTCTCTCTCTCTCGCTTGCTCGCTCGCTCGCTCGCCTCGAGGGTGGCAGAGGAGTAGGTCTGGCCGACTAGTCATTAGTCACTTTCCGAAGCAGAGGCACAGACAGGCCGCGGCTCTTCCTCCCAACCGTCCTGCCTCGCTTCCTCCTGTTCCGTGTCCGCATCCTTTTCCCTCCTTCTTCTTGTAGGCTCTTTCTCTCCCGCTCTCTTTCTCCGTATATCCTTTCTGCTGTTTCGTCCCGCTTCGTGCACCGTCTACCCGGTCGTTTGCGTTCTCTCTCCGTCTCGCTACGCGGGTTTCGTGCCTTCCTCGTGCCTCTATCGCGCCATCGGTCTCTCTACACCGGCCACCCTTCTTTCCTGCCCGCACCCCGCCCTCTCACTTCGAGACTACGAGAGACCCGGAGCGGTATAAGTCTCCCTCTCTCGCCGGGTTCCGTCGGCTGTGGCTTCGAGACGTTCTCGCTTGTGTTCCCCTCACGAAGAGAAACGCCGCCGTCGCGCTCGTGTTCGCCTTCTCTCCCGGTGCTAAGCCTCTCGCGCGTCTATCTTGATTGAGAGGGAGCGCTTGGGTATTTTCTCTCTCTCTCTCTCTCTCTCTTCGTCACGCTGCGTCCTTCTCCGTCTTCCTTTCTCATAGGTATGAAGGAAGGAGAGAAGGAGAAAGCGGAGCTAAGCATGCTTATAGTGAACCCGACGAGGACGCAGCGAGAGAGAGGTTGTCATTGATCGTCCCGACTGCGGCTTGCGAGCCGCTAAAGGTCCCGTACAAGCACGAGCCCGCCGGCGTGTAGCCGCAGTCATGTGTGTATGCGTATTTGTGTGAGTACTTGTGCATGTGTGCGCGCGTATTCATGGAGGCACACGTGCGTAAGCACTCCGTCTGTCATTCTTTATGCGTGCGACGGCGGAAACCCTTTTTTTCTTGTGCTACTCAAATTGCAGTGTTATTAGGTTGACTGTAGCGATCAGACGTAACGGTCTGATGATGTTCGATAAGAATGTAAAAAATGTGATGATCAGACAAATTTATTATTCTTCTCGAGTCTGCAGATGTAAAAATAAAAATATTTGTGGGTATCTCTCATTGCTGATATATTTGCACACGATTAATTTCAAATATCTTCGAAAAAAATATTTAAAAAGAGCTTTTTTTTTTAGTATTAAAACAATTAATAATTAAATTATGATTATAATATTTTTTATATAATTCAGGTTTGTATAATAAAAAATATGTTTATCTGTTCTTCTTGAAACAAAAGACAGCACATTTTGGTAAACAGGCGCGAGTACGATGATCACCGCGTTTGCTGTTAAAATCGTACGATGGCATTACTGGCAACGATATCTTTCCACGAGATAATTGTGAGCGACCGGCTGGAAGTTTTTAATCAATGGGGCAAGGAAATTGGGACACATCCGGCGGCATAGAACGGCGACAGCGTACAAGGAAAAAAAAAACGAGCCGCGAGCGCGCGAAGGTTAACCAAGGCGATAATTCGTCGCTCCGATTTCGGGGGTTTGGCTCGGTTAACCGAAACCGTGATTCCGAGGGCGTGCGCCGCGACCCTTAGCCAATAAAACAGTTGACCTCCTTCACCGGAGGAGAGTTAGCAAGCCGGAACGAGCAAAACGACGACGCGAGGTCCTGTGCATTTTTGGCGAACGCTGCGAATTCTTCACTAATGGTTCCTCTTTTTCCTCGGTCTTTGTTCGTTTCTTTCCTTACGTTCCAGAGACGGTTTCGGGCGACTGCAAATACACCGCATTGATGAGGGCGCATAAATAAAATAGCGATCGATCGTCAAGCCGATGTGCCGCGTAACGTTTTATAAAAGAAAAATCATCATTTATAAAAGATAAATCGTTATCGAGGAAAACTTACGCGAAGAAAGAAATTTGTCTTGATCCTTATACATCGAAATTCACTCCGCCGTATTACATTTAGTTTCATTACTTTTCCCGATTTTAATCAGTATATCCTGCAATTGTATGCAAAGTCGATCAAAAAAGTTCGAATATTCTAACTGCATGAATATTTAAACTATAGACTTTCTAAATGATAGCGATGCAACATTGTCATATTAATAACATATTATGAATATGTTATCGATATCGAAACGAAATTAAAATAAAGAAATATTGGCTAGTAGCTCTTTGTAACGATATTCGATGCTGATGTATGTACATGTATGTGAGATTCTACAGTGTGCGCCCTTCGACAGCCCTTAGCGTGGCCCAGCGGCGCTCGATTATTATCACCGTTCCTGCCCCGATAATGAAAGTACGTGCGCGCGCTCCCGTACGAATATATATATACACGCGAATGTGTTCGTGCTGGTGTTGAGAGCGCCAGGGTTCGCCGCTTGGTTGCATTCGGGCACCGGCGGCGAACGGGACCCGATGGAAAGAGTGACGGGACGAAAGGGGGGTTCCGCAACGAGGGTGGCTTTGAGGCACATACGCTGTGTCTCGGCCGCGC